TTTTTTTTTTTTTTTTTTTTTTTTTTTGAAACAAACAAGCCCATTATTGAACGGTTTCAGCCTAAACACAATTTTCTGCTTTTATAACACTGCTATAATAAAGTATAGCGGAAAAAGAGGAACGAAAAAAAATTCCCAATAAAGGAAATATAAACCCCATTCTTTTTTCTTTTCCTCTTTTTTTTTCTGCTCATTTTTTTAAAACAAAAAATCGCAAAAAATGGTCAAAAAATAGGAATAGTCTAAAGCATTTTAACCAGCGGATGACCATAATTTATGATGTTACAATCTAACAAATAACCACCGATCACCAACAACATCCAGCCTCCTTTTTCGCCTCTGCTCGTTCCAAAAAAACTCCAAAAACATATACATCCCTAAATTTATCCTACTCGCAAACAGTGAAACACAACAACACTTTGACTGAGTATTCCAAAAAATATTATATGATTTATAATAAAAGTAACTTATCAAAAAAATTGCTATTGCTGCTACTGATTTTGTTACTGCAAAAAAAAAGGAAAAAAAATCAGCAATTTTTTTATATATCAACACCACTGAATTGCCATTTAAAAATGTTTTGGAAAAAACAACAAAAACGAAAAAAAATAAAAGTATAAGAACTGCAACAAACCATCGCAGTGAAAAATGTTGCCTTTACTTCTTCTGAACATGCAAATCAACAATTTTTTGACGTAAATCTTTCGGGCAGATTCTTTGCTGTTGCCAATGTTTTCAGCATAGACGACCATCAAAAGATAATGGTTTTTACGGAGGCAACCATACCCTATTGTCTCTACTGGTATAGCGAATTTCAGAAAGGCCTTTGCTGTAAGTCGACGACAACCTATGAATGGTATACATCGGCACACTGTACTGCCTTTCCGACACTAAGCAGCAGTTCAGCAGCAACAGCAGCAGACAGCAAAACAAACTATTATTTGGCTATTTTAACAATAATACCAAACTTCAGTCAGTCACTTGGTTATCTAAACCCAATTGAAAACCACTGGAGTTGCTGTGTTTAAAATCGTTTAGGCCCGTTTTGTGTCGAAAAATAACTAACGGAAGTGAAGAGTCGCTGGTGCGTACGGTAGAAAAATTTTTTGCTCAAAACAGTATCGGTGTTTGCTCCACCTTTGTTAACGAATATATTCACAAAAGCATGTTTTTTTTTCTTTTCCAGTGAATCCTAAAACAATAGAGAAAAGCTTTAATACGTGAGACAAGCCGATTTATCATTCACTCTCATAGACACTTCATTAACGGATTTAATTTTTTTTTTCAGTTTTCTTTTTCCTATTTAGTATTTACATCACAAAAACAACAAAAATAAAAGTAGCGAAAAAAAAAGAGAACAAAAAAAGGAAGTACGCAGTGGAGGAATAATGTTGAAGCATCAATTTAAAGCTGGTGAACTATATCAAACAAAAAAGAAAAAAAACGAGGATTTACTGATAAAAAATAATTGTAAATTCAAGATCGATACTTATATCATGAACATAAAAAGAATTTATAAAAGCCAACCAATCAATCAAAGGTAAAAAAATTGGGCAGTTCAACCGCAAATCCTTTTGTTCCTTCTTCTTTCCACATTCCTCCACCTTCACTTCGCCCTTCCTTTCCTCCCCTCCCCCATACCCCTTAATTTCTTGCTCTTATTTCCTTTATTTGTAGCCCTCCCCTTTTACTCCTCTAGTTTCTCCTCTGGTCTCAAAGCTAACCATCCCACTGATCCATCAATTCCATTTTTAGCACCACCCTCAACCATTCAGCACTGTTTCATTTTTTTCTGATTGCTGTCACTGCTGTTGTTCAAGCTGTCTCAATTTCCTTTATCAGCCAATGATGAGGATGATGACCATATGTCCTTTAAATGCGAAAAACA